GCTGGCTGGGGAATTCTGGGAGTTGAAGTCCACATGTCTTAAAGTTGCCAAGGTGGAGAAACATTGGTCTAGTGATTAAGGCACCAGGCTAGAAACCCGGAGACGGTGAGTTCTAGTCCCGTCTTAGGCACAAAAGCCAGCTGGGTGACTTTGGGCCAGTCCCCCTCTCAGCCAAGCCCACCTCACAGGGTTGTTGTTGTGGGGAAAATAGGAGGAGGAAGGCGTATTAAGTATGTTCGCCGCTTTGAATTATTTATAAAAATAATAAAGGTGGGATTTTTAAAAATCTATTCAAAAATCTATATTCTATACAGTCATATAAGATGGCGACATCCACAGAAGGGTGAAACGAGGAAACGAACGGCCAGAATTTGCAATGTGGATGCAAAGGAGTGGTGTGTCCATGGCTCTTGGCAGGACAGGATGCAGCCTCCAGGCCCAGAGATGCACACGCCGCACCCGGGGGCTTCCAAGGCATTTGCTGATCAGAACCCCACTTACGACGGACGGTTGTCTGAGCCAGCAGCGCAATGGTTTGTGCTGAGCAGAATCTGTCCCAATAATGGAAATGCTAGAGCGAGATCACACAGGCACCCCTGAGGCTTTAAGATCCCCAAAGGAAAAGGTGGAAGAAAACAAATAAAGGCCACAGAGGAGCAGTGAAAATCAACACTGAACAGAGAGAGCCACGCTCCTGTAAAATAGCCTGAACTGGGTGAAGGGACATGCAGGAAGGAAAGATGGACAGGAGCCCCATCGCTGGGTCGATCCTAGGGAAACGTCAGTGACACCCTCACGCCCTGAGCTTGCTTTTTTCCTTCTCTGACCCCACCTGTTTTTCCTTGCGCGCCCTCACTTTCAAGCTCTAAAACCCAAGAGCATCTGTAGCCCTCTCTTTTGGCCAAAGAAAGGGGTAAAAATGCTACAGAAAAATACATACACCCAAGCGCTAGCATGTCTAAGGAACTAGTCAGAAGCTTGTCAGCCCAAACAAGGTCAGAGACAGCAAAGGAAGGTTTCTAGAAAATGGGAGCAGATGACATTCATTGCAGGAAAAAAAAAATAATGCATCAAACGCTTTCTCATATTAAAAGCGAGAAAGTGCCAAGTTACAGAGTGAGTTGTGTGTTTCCTTTTATTTTCTTTAAAAGCACTAATCTCATTCAGTTCCTGCCTGGAAAGCTGAACTCTTTCCTATTAAAACAACCCAGACAGTGCAGGGGACATTGGGTAATATGTTCAGAGGCCACAGTGCATCAGGTTGGGTAGAAAAAGATGATTGAGTAAGTGAACCAATCCGCATAATGCAAAATAAAATCCAGGCTTTCCAGCCAGAGAAAAATCCAGCAGCCACCAAACGATAACCAGGCAGCTAACAGGCGAGCGTGCCAACCCTTGGGTTGGATTCACACATATCAAGCCATGCTGGGATTAATGTTGGTTTACTGGGGGGAAAGCACCTTCTGCTGGGCCAATGAAGCATGGCAAGCCAGTAGTTCCCAGGCCACGAAGGCCGACCTTAGGTCGATGGAGCCCAACTCCCCAAAAAGCACATGAAGCCACCGTGGCTGTGCGAACCAGCGGCAGGCAGTTCACGGACCACAAAACCGGCTTAGCGCGACAACAAATCCACGTCGCCAGCCCTTACTTGGCAACAAGAATAGGCTCACATAAACGTGCAAGCAGATCCTGCTAAGCTTGGTAGGGCAGGTTATTTCAGCCCAGCCTCTAAACCAGTCTTTCTCAACGGCGGCACGTTAAAGACAGGGGGGCTTCAACTCCCAGAATTCCCCAGCCAGCGTGCTGGGAGTTGAAGTCCCGTGTTTTCAAGTTGTCAAGTGTAAGAAACCCTGCTCTAAACCTCACAACGGTGCTTCTCAACCCAGGCAGCTGGAAGAGGGGTGGACTACACCTCCCAGAATTCCCCAGCCAGCCTTGCTG